GGACAACAGAGCTGCTTCATGGAAGAAGAACCTCAGATTAGCCTGTTAGCTTTAGCGTTAGCCCCGATGCTATCACCATATATATGTATTAGCTCAGCGCTACACATTCTCCTCTCTTCACTGAGGTCCTCCATCCACATGACAGAGAGGGGAACACAAAAATGACTCGGCTGCAACTGAAAATATGGATGGAGGACCTCAGTTTAGGCTGAGTTTAGGTTCTGTGTCTGTATACGACCCACAGGAGACATTAACGGCAGTAATTTTATTCCATTCTTTGGCTTTAGCTGGTCCTTTAATTCCACGACTGACGCTGCTAAAAAGGACAGATTTTCTTTTCTCGATATCGGAGAGCAGGACTTCAATCTCTGAACTCGTAAAGTTCTTTTTATTTTTCGCTGTCATTTTCATGAATGGACACTTCCTGATATCTGAGGCAGGAAACATAGCCTTATATGGTGTTTTTGGGGTGGTAATTATGCTAATCTCCTCTCCGCGTGCACGAGCAGCTGGATACGAACAGGTGGAAATTACGCAGCTCATTTACACACTTTCTAGAAGAGTTTGTTGAATCTGATGTGACATGTTGGTACGAACCCTTTGTACGAACAAAAGTAAGAGAAATTTGGGACAAGAATACGAACATGTTCTTGCACGCGGCCCATTATTCTGAAATTGTTCTGCTAATTGTAGACAGTTTTTCACAGACTGGTAAAGCTCTGCCCAGTTTGTATTTCTGACAGATTGAGCCTCTCTAAATTTCTCTTTTGATGCCCATTCTTTTTACCGACACATTAATAACCAATTATTAGCTGTAAAATGTTTTCTCCAGTTGTTTTTATTCGTGATCCGTACTTTTACAGCCACATGTTGCTCCTGGCCACACTTTTCTGAGACATGTTGCTGCTATCACATTCAAAATTACCTTATTTTGTCCTAAAACTGTAAAGTTTCACAGTTTAAATGTTTCATATGTTTATTATGTTTTATTATGAGTAATGTATGGGTTCATGAAATTTGTAAATCATTTTACAAATGTCCCAACCTTCTTGACGGGATTGTAGGTTTTATACTGCTGTGGTACCTTTAGCTTCTGTAAAAGGGTCCAATAAATGAAAGAGTTCCTCCTCTTGTTTCTCTGTTGGACATTTTAGTGTTAGTGGAGGAGAGTTATTTGACTTCATTGCTCAGAAGGAGAACCTGTTGGAGAGCGAAGCCATTCAGTTTATAAAGCAGATCCTGGAGGGACTGAGGTTCATGCACAGCAACAACATCGCACATTTCGACCTAAAGGTAAGAAATGCACGGACTTGAGCTTTTTTTTGTTGTTGTGAAGCTCAGCTTTTAATTATGTATTCATATCACAAAAACATTTGATTTTTAGCCAGAAAACATCATGCTGTCAGACAAAGTGTCTCCACGCCCCATCATCAAACTTATCGACTTCGGCCTGGCATACCACTTCAGTCCAGGGGAGGAGTACAGGAGCACAAGTGGTACTCCCCAATACATTGGTGAGCACCAGTAATGTCTTGTTTGACCTCATATTTTAAAACGTGTCTGTAGTTTCTCTAATAAGTCCTAGAAACAGAAACAGTCATGGAAAATTAAACATCACCCTCTTGCAGTTCTAAGGTTTTACATATCAGGAGAAAACACAACTAATCTGCTTTTTATCAGCTTCTACAATCATCAGATCTGAATTTAAGTGTACAAAAAACACAACAGATCCAACTTGTTGTTATTTAATAAATAAAACAACAAAATGGAGAAGTTGTGTTTTCAGTCTCCAACATAGTTGTGGAGGAATTTTGGTTCCAACTTAGGTTTGTTGAGATTTTCTTTATTTTTTTATTATTTTTATTTTTTACTTGGCCCTCTTAAAGTGCTCGGGACATCCAATTTTTCTAATAAATAAAATGCATTTTTGCAACCATAACATTGATAACATAATGCAAAGAACATTTTACACTGCTGAGATGAACATTTGTGGAGATATTTGCATGTGCAGTAACAGGAAGTGATGTCAAAGGGGAATGTCTGAATGTAAATAAAGAATCACTACAATGGCCGACAACTGCAGAGAAGAATCTGACGTTTCTTTAGATTATTCTGAATCATGATCAGAGAGAGATGGAGTCAGAGTTCATAATATTTGGTTCAATAAACAAAGACCAGTTTTCTTTCTTAAAGAGTTCCACTTTGACGTCACTTCCTGTTTCACTTTGGCTGAGCCAAGTTCAGAAGAAAACAGGCCAGTTATGAGACAAAATAAGTAAAATTGTGTGTTTATTGGCAAGTTTCATAAATATAAAGATGTTTTCTTTGACTTTTTGTATTTGAAGGACATGCATGTCACAGACACTTTAAGGTCCCACCTCAACATTTCAGTGGGGTAGAGGTTCTGGACTCTGGACTGTGAAGAGTCCAGTGATTCTTTTCTTTTTGAGCTGTTCTGTAGTAGATTAGCTGCTGTGTTGAGGGTCATTGTCCTGTGGGTAAACATCTGTACTTTGCTCTCATTATGGTTAATTCAGATGAAACGTTGAAGTCGAGCATCTTGAGTTTTTGTCATTTCTCTACATGTTGCAAGGTCTGACCTTGGGGGTGAATTTCCTGGGTCAGCTGTCCAAGACAAGGCTTAGTTTTTCACACAGCTTTTCTATTTTAAATATGGTATGTTATTGTTTAATAAATAGTAACGTGGTGGAATCTGGTGTATGTTTTTCTTTGCTTGAGGTTAGATTCTAATCATTTTTTTACTATCCTGATATGAAAAAACCCTGGGACTGAAAGAGGAAGGACTTTAATTTGACCCCTGACTGTGCAATAAAACGGAGAGATGCACAACAAATTTCTAAGTAAAACAAAAATAAAAAATGAGTTATGCTATGTTTTTTTAAGCTAAATAAAGTTTTTGAACTGTAACTCTATACAGTATTATGGCAGAGTTGTAAAACCTTTTATGGACACAGCAGAGTTGTTGAAACAGCAGAAGGCTTTAGTAAAACACTTTCTGTAAAATCCATACATTTACCAAAGCCTCAGTGAAAAACACATGTAGGAACTTGCAGATGTGTTCTGACTGTTATGGCAATATTTATTTAACAACAGAGACAGAAATACGCTGGTCAAGAATGAAGGTACTCCGTGGGATGATCAGCTGAGTTTTATTGCAACAACAGGAAACACAGAGAACCTGGCCTGTCTCTGTGCCTCTCTGTCTGTCTCTCCACACTGCTCACTGTCTAACTCTGTCGCGCACTGTGTCTCCAGAGGCCTCATATACAGCATTCTGTCATCTAACATRGTGTGAGAATGAACAACCAATCATAACCTGCCCCATCCTGATACACGGAAATAGGTCAACTTGATGCTGACGTCCGGAAGGATATCACAAGATATGAACAAGTGTTCATATCTTCAGGAACAGTAACAAGTGGTCAGTGTCAAGGTGATACAGAAAATAAGAATTCCACAACACTGCCAAATAATTCTCACAGTAGTAAAAACAGCTAAAACAACTGGAGATAAAATGAGTGCAACGTTTGTTGGTTGTCAGTAGAAAGAAACTAGTGCCTGTTTATGGAATACAAATGAGGCGGTAAGTTTATTTTTTAGTATGACACTTAACTTTCATATGACTGTGTATATTTCTGTTTCTCTGTTTTATTTTAGCCCCTGAGGTGATAAACTGTGAACCTCTCAGCACAGCGACAGATATGTGGTGAGCGTTCTGCACTGAGCTTTACGCATTTATAGGTGTGTTTCCACTGCAAACACTCAGGTTTTACCACAGTAGCTGTGTCTAAATTCAGGGGCTGCATCATCCGAAGGCCCAATTTGTCGCCCGCTTACGTTACAGCGCCGCAACGGAGGCTGTCCAAATTCAAAGACTCCTCCGATGCAGCCGACAAATGTGTCCTTCTTTTCCTCCAGTTTGGTCCATTGAATCCTTCTCGGCCCAACATATCCCGTAATTCATTGCGGGCCGACCAGAGATTTTTTTCTCCCCTTAAAGGCGGACAAAGCGAGAGAAAGGAGAAGAGTTTTAAATAAAAATCTCGAGGTGTAAAAAAATAAAAGTTTCAAGTGGTTGTGTGTGTTATTAATGCTTTTATCATTTGTACAGATTTGTTTTTAAAGAGATCCCCAATTAGTTGTAACATTAGACTTTATTTAATAAACATTTATTTTAACTGTAAAATAAAGACTTTAAAAAGACTGTAGGATGTTTAGTTTTTATCATTTTTAAACTAAAAGTTAAAAAATATAGTACACGGACGGGGCCATTTTATTTACATGCAAAGCATTCTGGGTAAATGATGATGTCAACTAGGTCATCAGTGCGAGACTGCTAGCGAGTTATATCCACCCTGAAGGTTAATCTTGGACAATATCTGATGATTGGCTCTTTTAAATGAAACCAGAGAGCGTTGACAGAGAGGAGAAGGTAGAAATGACTCAGAAGGCAATATAGCATCAGTGCTAGCACAAAGGCTAAAGGCTAAGCTGAGGTTCTTCTTCCATGAAGCAGCTCTGTTGTCCTCCATCCATATTTTCAGTTACAGGCTGAGCTGAGTCATTTCTACCTTCTCCTCTCTGTCAACGCTCTCTGGTTTCATTTAAAAGAGCCAATCATCAGATATTGTCCAAGATTAACCTTCAGGGTGGATAT